TCAATGCATATTGGCCATACAGGCAAATATGGCCTATGGACAACTTTCTCAAATACAAACTTTTGGCTCAAGTTTTGATCTTTTCCTACTAATTAGACCCCAAGGAGTTCAAAAAACACAAGAAATCAAATCAAAATCTGTAAGTTTTCAAACTGGCTATATGCAGTCTGCATATTGGTGCACAAGAAGTGCTCAAAGACAAATAAATTTTTTGCGTGAAAACTTACAAAGCTACAATGCTGAAATTTTGCACCAATCTTCACATGGACTATCTGCACATGTCAGAAAAAACAGAACTCAAATATCTGCCATAGAACAAAAAATAATTTTTGACATTTTCAATGCATATTGGCCATACAGGAAAATATGGCCTATAGACAACTTTCTCAAATACAAACTTTTGGCTCAAGTTTTGATCTTTTCCTACTAATTGGACCCCAAGCAGTTCAAAAAACACAAGAAAACAAATCAAAATCTGTAAGTTTTCAAACTAGCTATATGCATTCTGCATATTGGTGCACAAGAAGTGCTCAAAGACAAATAAATTTTTTGCGTCAAAACGTACAAAGCTACAATGCTGAAATTTTGCACCAATCTTCACATGGACTATCTGCACATGTCAGAAAAAACAGAACTCAAATATCTGCCATAGAACAGAAAATAATTTTTTACATTTTCAATGCATATTGGCCATACAGGCAAATATGGCCTATAGACAACTTTCTCAAATACAAACTTTTGGCTCAAGTTTGGATCTTTTCCTACTAATTAGACCCCAAGCAGTTCAAAAAACACAAGAAAACAAATCAAAATCTGTAAGTTTTCAAACTAGCTATATGCAGTCTGCATATTGGTGCACAAGAAGTGCTCAAAGACAAATAAATTTTTTGCGTGAAAACTTACAAAGCTACAATGCTGAAATTTTGCACCAATCTTCACATGGACTATCTGCACATGTCAGAAAAAACAGAACTCAAATATCTGCCATAGAACAGAAAATAATTTTTTACATTTTCAATGCATATTGGCCATACAGGCAAATATGGCCTATAGACAACTTTCTCAAATACAAACTTTTGGCTCAAGTTTGGATCTTTTCCTACTAATTAGACCCCAAGCAGTTCAAAAAACACAAGAAAACAAATCAAAATCTGTAAGTTTTCAAACTAGCTATATGCAGTCTGCATATTGGTGCACAAGAAGTGCTCAAAGACAAATAAATTTTTTGCGTGAAAACTTACAAAGCTACAATGCTGAAATTTTGCACCAATCTTCACATGGACTATCTGCACATGTCAGAAAAAACAGAACTCAAATATCTGCCATAGAACAGAAAATAATTTTTTACATTTTCAATGCATATTGGCCATACAGGCAAATATGGCCTATGACAACTTTCTGTTTCTGCCCTGTAAAATGGATAAATAATATCAGTTTTCATAGTTAATGTTTATTTAAATATTTAGATCATAAAATTGTTTGATTTAAAGGGATACTTGAGAACGTGTTTTTTTTTTCTCCCTTTTTTTTTTGTTGAGTTATTTCAGTATCTACCTATCTATCTATCTATTGGTTACTTAATGATTTTTATAAATTTTTCTATAAATTAATATTGATCATTAATAATTTCAATATTTTCAAATAACAGTTTTGAAATTGTAAATCTTATAAGCTTGATTCTCTTGATTTTTAATATACCCATATAAGTTAGTGTCTCTTTAAAAGAAACAGGGTCACTACAATGTATAACATTATGACACGCTGTAGTAAATTAGGTTGTCAATAACCACAAGTGTACAATTCATACAGACACATAAGAAATTAAACCGACTCAAGTATTAAAATTTCAGACAGGATTCATAGAATGAAGAAATTAGAATTCGGTGCAAAATTAACTAAATGTGATCAATAATAGTCTTTTATGACAAATACAAATAATGATAACGTCAATCATTAGGTTTTCGTGCGGTATTAACTTCGCATAATTGATTCATATCCGAGCTAGTCTGATGCTGTCGGCATGATTTTCCGATACACAATCCTCAGTTAGTTTTTAGATATGGGGGTTGATTGCATATAACTGATGTTGTAATTTAAATGAAAGCGATATTGAATATTACACAGTTGCAATGATTATTTAGCCTGCCGGAAAACAAAAATTAGCTACTTGTTTACTTAATTAAACGTCTCTTCTAGGTAGACTCGGTATTTTGAATGTTTTCATTCGTGTATAGAGGACCATAGAAATACTTAATAGCAATATCTGATCTTGAAATGCTACAATATTAACACATATTAGAAAATGTTCAATTGCCAATCAATTAAAAATGTGGGATAGTTTCCTCGATCCAAAATTGGAATCTTTAAAACTCCGTAAACAACTAACATGTAAGCCAAAAGACATCTGCCAGATGTATACAAAGTAACACAATATTATAGCTATTATAGCTATATACCTAGATATTCAACACTTATAATCCAACCAAAAATTTAATTCACCAATATCGTCTAAAAGCGAATGAACCATAAGAAAACAATGCTCATGTAAGACGAAAATCACAACAAATTTCCACAAACCTAATCTATTAGACCTGCATCTGACATTTCATCAAGGCCTTTCAATATGAAATAATGAGAAATATTTACAATGAGAATAAAAGTCTGGTAATAACCATCAACCATGAACCATTTAAAAACTATGAGACAACTATGTACATATGTTTGTGTTTTGTATCAGATAAAGTCAGTATAATATGAGATATATTTTTCATCTTCTGTTCCACCTTAACCTGCAAACCAGAAAAAAACGCTTCATTAGTCTAAACCAAAATCGCTTACCATCTATAACTTAACCATTATCTACAACAACTCTTCTTTATCGTTGTTTATAACTATTCGTCTTAACCATTATTTATAATTAGTCATCTTAATCATTATCTATAACTATTCTTGTAAACCATTAACTATAACTATTCTTCTTAACCATTATTCATAACTATTCTTCGTCACCAGTATCTATTACTACTTCTTAACTATTATCTATAACTATTCTTCTTAACTATTATCTATAACTACACTTCTTAACTATTATCTATAACTATTCTTTTTAACTATCATCTACAAAATCATAAGTAACAAAATCATAAGTGTTTTACATGTCGAGAGGTAACACATTTCATATACACCCATATAGATAAATAATAATGTGGGTACAAATAAAAATCTGTCAAAATCGTAGAATGTAGAGCTAGTATGCGTCGTGTAAGACGGAAGTATAGAGGCGGAATACTTGTGTACGAAGGCCTATCTTGTCATGTGATGGCCAAAAATATATACCTCAAAATAGCAGCTAATGCCATTGCAGCTTTGCAGGACAATATAGTCCTTCGTGTAAAAACATTCATTTATGTATACGCCTACAAATTAGTAAATTCCAATGCAGCTTTTGTTATAATATGTATCAAAAATAGCTATGCCATCGTAAAACGCCCACATTTGTAATGTCAGCTAATTTGTCCGGGAGGTTGACAAGAGTTATCAGTAAATGAATGTTTCTGATAGTGAAATTTTCATATTTCATGGGTTTTGTTTACAACTTTTTTTATTCAAGTGGGATTAATTTAACATGTCAAGTTTCATTTAATCCATATAGAATTGAATCTTTTGTGTGGCAGCAAATAGCAAATCTTTGTGATAAGACAGTTATATATTTGTGGCAGATGTGTATATATATATATATATATATAGAGGCAAGTAGCCCATTAGATACAACATTTGTCAATATATTGATGGTATATAATAAAATATTTCCAAAAAGAATATTTTTTATAAAAAAAATAACAATACATCATAATTAATAATTGGTTGTTTATTATGGTATATGCATTATTTTAAAGGCCTCCATTTTCTTTTGAAGTTACTCAAATTACATACTTAACGTTTTCAGACCACAATATCATCAATAAAATCACATTCAGGCTACTAACTCTATGCATACACCTAATGATCACTATTAAATTTTCATTGGTTGAGAAAACAGTGGGTGTGGCTTAAGTCCAGCTATGAAAAAAATTGTGAGTAGAGAAATAGTTAGGCCTCCGATTTTCAATAGGGTTCATCCCTGAGTGATTACACAGGCTAACTCTATGCATTCAACTAATTATCACTGTGGAAATTTTCATTCAACGGTAATAACTCATAGTGAATATTATTCAATTTCGCTGAATTTCAATAGGGTTCATCCTTTGGTGATTACAAACACCCAAACCAAGTTTCGTCAAAATCCACCAAGAAACCAGCCTTCTATCGTGTCCACAAACAATTAAAGAACAAGGACAATAACTCATAGTAAATAGTTTTCGATTCGTCTGGTTTTCATTAAGGTTCATCCTTGGGTGATTACAAACACTCACACCAAGTTTTGTCAAAATCCATCAAGAAACCAGCTCTCTATCGTGTCCACAAACAATTCAAGAACAAGGACAATAACTCATTGTAAATATTTTTCGATACCAGCTCTCTATTGTGTCCACAAACAATTCAAGAACAAGGGCAATAACTCATAGCAAATATTTTTCGATTCGTCTGATTTTCAATAGGGTTCACCCTTGGGTGATTACCAACACTAACACCAAGTTTCGTCAAAACCCATCAAGACACCAGCTCTCTCTCGTATCCACAAACAATTCAATAACAAGGGCAATAACTCATAGTAATTAAGTTTCGATTCGTCTGATTTTCGATGGGGTTCATCCTTGGGTGATTATATACACTCACACCAAGTTTCGTCAAAATCCATCAAGAAACCAGCTCTCAGACTGTCAGGCAAACGGGCAGGCAGGCAGGCAGACAGACAGAGGCGACGGCTATATACGCCCATTCAAAGACAAATCTTTTTCTTTTTGTTGTTCAAAAGTATAGATATGTGTGTAGTTGGCTTACCTTCTGTAAAACTGTGGCATTCAGTAGACATAATTTCTTTACAACATACAGTTTCAGACATTCATTCCATATCACCGCAAAAATGAAATAATGATATATATTTTAATGGTAATACTGAATGAACTTCTCAACATCGGTGTTTTGTAATATGTATCAAAAAACGGGTTCCATGGGACATGCTATGATTGGTTTAAGTCATTAGATAGGGACTGTCGAAGAAAAAAACATTCAAAGACAAATGCTTTTGGAAGTACCTCGAAAGTATAGATATGTGTGTAGTTGGCTTTCCTTCTGTAAAACTGTGACATTCAGTAGAAATGATTTCCTTAAAACATACAGTTTCAAACATCCATTCCATATCACCACAAAAATGAAATAAAATAAAATATATTTTTCAATACTGCACTTTTGCGATGACAGTACCATCGATTTTTAGATTTACATTCTCAAATAGGGAACGGGGTTGTACAAAGCCTTGCATCATATGGGGATTCAACCGATCGACTAGACGCTCTTTCCATTCAAGTCATTGACAGGGGAACATAGTTAAATTTCAGAAACATTGATCATAACATAACTTGCCTATTGTAATGTAGGTTTTCATGACTTTCCTGACTCAGGATTTCTTTCAAAACCACAATAAAGCCTTCACCACCAACCATATCACTGTCAATCGAAATATAATATGAATTTAAGTTTAACGTCATAATAATGAATTAACAAGAGCTCGTATCTTTCATCTAGACAGTTGGAAATGAATTTAATTAACTTTGCAAAAATTTAATTGACTAAATGAATTAAATGACTTATCTTTTAAAAAACTGTATTTGTTCAATACACGAGAACGTTCACGTGATGTGGCCTACAGTCCTATAAAAAAAAAAGAGTTATGTTTTATGAGAGCCATTTATGGGGGAGTTAAGGGAAGGGGGGCACTTTCAATTTCGAGTGATTTCTAGTTGTACTAATCAATCATTCATGTTTTACAGTTTGTGTTTAAGGAATTTTATAGAAGTTATCTATTGTAAGGATTTTCTTTCATCATTCCCACTCTCCGCCTGACGTTTGTGGTTTAAGAAGTGCTCATACACAAATAATTCTTTTGCAGGAAAAGTTGCCAAGCTACAAGGCTGAAATTTGCAGACAATATCCACATGGACTATCTGCGCATGTGGAAAAAAACAGAACTCAAATATTTGCCATAGAACCGAAAATAATTTTCACCATTTTCATGCATATTGACCTTATAGTCAAATATGGCCAATATGCAATTTTGCCAAATTCACCAATTTGACTCATGTTTTGCTTTTTTCCTGCTAATTAGACCCCAAGGACATCAAAAAACTCAAGAAACCGAATTAAAATCAGTAAGTTTGAAAACTAACTATTTGCAGTCTGCACAGTGGTCCACAAGAAGTCCTCAAACACAAATAAATTTTTTGCAGGAAAAGTAACCAAGCTACAAGCCTGAAAATAGTAATATTCTAAGCAACGTAGGAACATTACCCAAATGTATGATTGTCAGAAAGGTCTACACCACTTCACAACTGCATTAACCGCCGACAAATCGTAATAAAATTTGCAATACTTCTCGAATAGAAATCATGCTTCCCAACTACAAAGCTCGTGTGAAAAGCAACAGAGTTGAAAAGACAGAAACCAACTCAAATTTTCACAAAATACACTAAAAGTACAATATCCCAATTTGTTCTTATCCTATTTATTGGTATCTTACGAAAACTATGTACGTGTATAACCACAAGTATTTCTCTAAAAAATTAATAACGTGAATCACTGACACCTAAATCTCCTTATCGGTTACAACATGAAATATTATGAAATATCTCACATGTACTAAGCATTCAAAAATTCAAACAGTCTTGTACTAAACTTTAAGCATTTGAAACTAAAACGGTCTGTTACAAAACATTAATTAATTGAAAACTATTGCAATATATTACTAACCATTAAGCATTTGAAAACTAAAACTGTCTTAAGCATTTAAAAACCATGAAATATATTTTAAGAAGTTCTTTACAAATTGTAGGTGTATCTTGTGTCAGTCAATATGACAATATTATCTTATTCATCTTCTGTCCAAAGAAGAAACAAAGCGCCTCGTGGCTCATTAGTTTAGAACAAAACTCGCTTACCTTTCATTATCTTTCACTTTGTCGCATGGTGCTAATGTCAATGGATATATGACTATTCATCTTTATCAATGTCTATAACTATTCATCTTTATTATCATTTATAACTATTCTTCTTTATCAATGTCTATAACTATTCTTCTTTATCATTATCTATAACTATTCATCTTTATCATTATCTATAACTATTCTTCTTTATTATTATTTATAACTATTCTTCTTTATCATTGTCTATAACTATTCTTCTTTATCATTATCTATAATTCTTCCACAGTAAAAAAAAGATAGCTTGCAAGGCAAGGTAACATACGCCCACTGGCAGCTGTCAGAAACGATAAAACAGTCTTTAGTGACTAAAGTACGAATCTTCTCATATTGAAGAAATTTGATTAGTTTGAATTCAATTATATATATGTATGCCAATTATTTATGCTGAGTAATTCCACAGCTCTAATCAAGGGCAAAAAAACACTTTTCCTAAGTCAAGGGCAATACCTCAAAAACCGTTCATCGAAAATCATCAAGTTCAAACGTCAAAATAAATGATCACAAAATATTTCATTGAAACCAAATAAAAATTGTATACTGTAGTCTCTATTGAAAAAATTCTTATGCATTTTTACATCGTCATGGGCAATAATTTTTTTATTAGATTTTTCAATGAAAATTTCTGCTGACACCATCACTTTTCCAAAAAAATTTTAAAATTTTAAAAATCCATTTGCATTGCTAATGTAAACACTGTTCAAGTCATTTTTGTCATTATGAAAAAAAAACCCAAGAATTTGGTCGTCGGCAAATTGAACAAATACAAGTCATACTAAAAATAGATCAATGTTTTCACGTGCTTGTAAATTGGAGCAGCCTTGCTCTTACTTGAAAGATATAGACCTGATATTTTAATATCAGAAATTTTATGTGATTTCGAATTGATTTCATCTTTTTGGGGCTATTTCTTATTGTTATCAAATGAATGCTTTCAAGTCAATAACAACATTATAATACAAATAAACAATCACATAACTTCAACCTTCTCTCGCTTTGTTGCTATCCAATATCAAACGAAACCGATAACCGGATCTCGTGCACTCATATATTATGCAACACTTGCTTAACAAACCGGGACTTCAAATGTTATATTTATGCATTAACATTGTCTATGATCGCAAACATTACAGAAATAATTATAATGCTCCTTCAGCACAATATTGGGTCGACTCATGACGGATGTTAGGGCTTTCGACTTCTGAAAATAATTTTGCTGTATTGTTCCTTGGAGTTGATAAAGTGAGTACAACTGTCGCACAATTAGACTTAACCACGAATGTGTGAAGTGAATAGGTCTAATAGCTAGCAATTGTGGTCTAATGTCTACTTATAAATATTAATAATTTCCGATTAGTGTACTGTAGACTCTAGAAACTTTTATTGTGGTCAATCAATAGCAATAGAAATTCCACCGATAAAAATGTGGTTAATATGTGATAGTCATTTAACGAATTGTGTCTCGGTACCAACAAATGCAAAAATAAATTGCGAGCGGAATGTGTTTATTATGATATGCCAAGTTAACAAAGTTTATTTCTCTTGTTCCCGCGACCTTCTATGATAAATTTTATATAAAAAGATGTTAGAGGGTCCTCATGTTCTTTAAGCACCGATAGCATATATTGTTTTATTCGTATATATAACCAGTATTATAAACAATAAATTGCTACCGGTTATTAAGGAACAAACTGCAAACTGATACGATCCAAATCGGATACTAAAAGGGTATTGGAGTAGGTGTGGGTGTGTTTTATTTAGCAAGGTGCTTCATTCTTGGATGTGGTCAAAGGGGGATAATTTCACGTTACTTCGGTCTGAAGTCGAGGTAATCGCTTACCATAATAATGTACTCTCTGGCCATATTGAGTTCTAAATTAAATTTATTTAATTTATGTCACAAATATTCAAAATATGATTGTATATTGCATGCCATTTGTCTAAGAATGCGTATGGGTCCATGGAAATAAAAGTTTTAACAAATTTCCATTTGAAATAAACACACTTCCCTATTAGAAATTCTGGGTGAAAATTACCCACATTTCGGACTGAAAATTCCCCTCTGTATAATTAAATTTTAAATAATTCTTTTTTGAATGGCATTTTCATCAACCCAAAGACAATCTCAGAACTATTTTGAGGTTTATATTTCAATTCATACAAAGATATTAGGCAAAATGCGACTTAGGCAACATTGTGGTCAAACAGAAGGTGGGTTATATAGCATAAGAATGTATATAGTATATATTGTGGTTGGTTGGTTGGTAGATGACAAGTTAACGTTCGCTGATATCGCAAACTAGGTAGTTGTTGGTAGTCGTAGTAGTTGGTAGTCGGATTGGTTCAAATTGGATGATTCTGTGTTGTTGGTTTGGTTGTTGATTCCTCGTTAGATCTGGTCGGGTCGAATGACATGGCGGTGAAACTCGGCCCTGGATGGTGTGGCGTGAGTTACTCGATCTCCTTCATTCTTCCAAACTCGTTCTGATCATGGTATTTCTTGTTGATTGGTAGTCGAATGGTAGTCGTTGGTTTGATTTGGTTAGATTAAGTATATATTGTTTCCATATTATCTTTTTATACTTCAGTTGCTCAGTTGGTGTATGTTTTGATGACTGTCATTTTGTCGTCTGCTGGATGTAGTTAAGTACTCATCATGAGTAAGATTAAAGTAGTTTTCATTATATAGGCGGCAGTTTGGCTAGTTTCCTAGTTAATTTGTTTATGGTTTTTAGCCAGAAAGCAGTTTGCAGTTATTAGACTGATTCATTTTAAAAAGAATATTGATATATTGTGGATCTAGTAATTGTTTTTAATAACATTTTCTGGGAATTAGAGTAAGTTATTTATATAATTGTAAGTATCATTAAATTGTAAGTATTCTTCTAATACTTACAAGTGCTTTTTAATATTAAATCTATAACATTTGTTAATTTTTTATTCAGTTATTTATTTCAGACTTTTATTAAATATATTATAAGTATATTTAACAACTGTAGGAATTATATTTATCTTCTATCAGAATTTGATTATTAATGGCGATATATTGTACATAAACTATATAATACACTCTATTTCTGTCACTGATTTGACTGAAAATTGGAATGGTGCAAATTGGTGTTATCAGTGTCCCCAATACACAAAATATTAAAAAGAATTTACAATTCCTTTACAGGACGAATTTAATATAATGATGTTTATTTAAAATCTATCAATGATCAATCTATTATTACTCGAAGGGCGAAATATTTCCTTTTTGCTATCTGACTAAAGAGCGTGAACTTTGATTTCACTAAAGGTTAGAAATTGTCCATTACTATTACTAATAAAAATATATCTCGACGAAAAGGCAACTGCGCCGCTACATGTTGTTATGTTGTAAACTACCAGACCAGTTGGGTTTGGATCTTGGTGGCAGAGTGGTGTAGAGCTGAATGTGCTTTCGTCACATGCTCCTACTGAACTGAGTCGAATTTGAAAGTTGACAATTCGATTTATACTACCTGAAAGTATAATAAAAGTCATAAATACAACAGTTACCAATGATCCGAATGTAAGAAGGGAATTAAATGATATGTGTATCTATATAAGTCTGAACGAGTCAAATGTCATTGAGTTGGGATTCCTGATTGCTCGTGTTGATAAAATCCCATTCAGCTCGCAACCGTTTCAGATTGTGATGATCCTCATTGTCATCCACGATTTTTTTTTGATGTACGCACACGTCGTTTATTGGCGTCACCCATGTCCGTCCTCCATCCACAAATACATAATGGATTTTGACGAAACCTGATGAAATTGGTCATCACCATAGAATGGCTTCAATTTATAGCTCGTAAAAATTGTAAAAACTGAAGTATTTTATAGAAATTAAGAACAAAACCCTGTCAAAAGTATTTTATGATTATTTCAAAATGTGTTACTGTCCTGTTGGAAAACTTAAGAGGACACAATTTATGACAGATTTGAAATTATGAATTAACATGAATATTAAGGTTTCAAGTATAGTCCTATAGAAAATTAAAAAAAAAGAGTTAATTATTTCATATTACTGTACTTCCAAAGTTCTTACTTACAAGCAAAGCTGCCAATGGATGTATCACCTTGTCGGTAGGTGGTAGGTATATGACAAGTTAATGTTCGCTTCCAGCGGATGCTGATATCGTAATATCACCTTGTCTAGCAAGCTATCCTTAAATATTATGAGGAGGTGTGATCACTGTGAAAAGGTATAATTAGCACATTCTGATTATAAAGATCGGACAACCGCTATATAATGATTTTCAAGTTTATGAATTGTAAGTGAAGTCAACCTTGACGAAAACAGAAAAACAATGTTGATCAATTCTGCATAATTGAATCAATTTGGTCGATACATTCAACCTGATAATAAGAGAATAACAATCACGTCTTAGACATGTAGGTATATTTTCTATTGATCCTGATATCGATAAAATTACCTTCACACAATGAACTTTCAAAGGGGGCGTCTCAGTTAAAAAAGGTACTTGAATAACATTCGCAATGCATACTCCTTTCATGAATTACGCACGTGATACGAAGATGTTAAAAGAAAACCACCCACAGACAGACACCGTTGTAATTGACCATGCCATCAGCAGTATGATCAATCTACTTGCCTCTCGTTGAATCCGATCAATCACTGTATTTAGTACATGCGCTAAATGCACCGATTAGTTGCCACGATTTGCCCGTCAAAATTTGGTATTATACGCCCACTGGCAGCTTTGATTTTAAATAAGAATATTTGGCAGTACCGTATCAATCACCGAAATATTCGACCTTCAGTCATACACTTTTTGGGGCTATACTGAATAATATTACAAAGTTTTGACGGGCAATAAATCATACTAAATATTTTTCTGCTTTTCAATAGGGTTCATCCTTGGGTAATAACAAACTCCCACACCACGTTTTGTCAAAATCCATCAAGAATTGTGCCTTCTAGATTGTTTACGAGCTAAAAATTGATCACATTTTCAAGACCAAGGGCAATAACTCATACTAAATATTTTTCGATTAATCTGATTTTCAATAGGGTTCATCCTTGGGTGATAACAAACAATCATACCAAGTTTCATCAAAATTCGTGCAGAATTGTGCATTCTAGAGTATTTACGAGAAATTGCAATTGCGGATGGACGGACCGACGACATGGGTAATGCCAAAATTTCATGTGGGCGTATAAACCTTAGTTCTATTCGCTGGTGCCATGCAATTTCAATAACAAATATATATATTTCATCTATGTATTAATTTCGCAAAAAGAATGGAATAGACATTTCCCACAACCAACCTTATACTGTTCACGAGTTTTAATTTCCTGTTTTTTATGTCAGTTACATCCAACTCGCAACATAAAAAAATACTGACGTTAATTCTACCTACCCCCATCCTGTCTATTGAAAATCGTGATCTGCTTGAAATTATATATATTTTCTAAATCAACACAAAACCAATTCGGGTTTAACTTTTGTGTATGGCATACTGTAAGTCGGTCGTTGGCTGTATTTCCATCCACACAATTACATGGTAGATACGGTAAACTGTGAAAAGTGCTCATGACTGATGGTTTTCCAATGGCCACATTCGTTTTATCTGGAATACAAAAATATGAGAATCGGTGTTCACTGGTTTAAACTTTCATAATTATTATCAAGCAACATTGCATTACTTGTTCTGGCGCTGACAATAGCATAGTCTCGAACTGTTTCTGAAATTTGCCGATCGATTTGGTGAAACACATGTTAGTGAGGAACTGTGCAATTATACGACGACAAACATTTAAGTCAAGTAATTCGATCAAACTAGTATAGTCCGTCCTTGGCTTGAATGCAAGGCAACGGTTGTTGGTCAAATCCCAGCGACTGAACTTTTTTACATCACTAACGGGGAGACCAAGTTGAAAATCCGAATGTACTATCTCTGCCTTTGACGGGATCAATTCCTGAACCTTCGGGTATCAAGTAAGCATCTAAATAACAAAGCCATTGTGGTCTCCGTGTACATTACAAATGGACTGTGATTCTATTTGTTTGGTCTTGAACGACAAATGGGTTCCCTATACCTTCTAGTACTTACCTTCTTCTGAAGGAACATATATTTCCATACCGATATCATTGACTACACCTTGACATTCAACAGGAAACATATCATAGAGAAAACACTCAAGTCGTTGTTCGTGGTATCCAAAACCAACACAAGAAATGTTGGTGAAACAAAGCATGCTACATCGAAGTTTTGCGTTTTGTATTATTTGCTGATAATGTCTCGGGATTAGTATGTCTTGTTTGTAAAGAATATACGATTTCGAAAGAACAGTATTTTGTGCACATAAATTTGTCAGAGAAGAATACACCAGAAATAACACATTGAAAATCATTTTTGATCTGTGGTGAATTACGCCAAATGAAGCCTTCCAATAAATTAAGCTCTCCAGTGAACTCAAGAAAGTAAGCAGCCGGGTGGGTTAAGTTGTCAAGTGAAATGATCTCAACGAATTAAGCTTCCCTTGGACTTGAGCTTTCGTTGAAGTACATTTAACTCTGTACCAGCTACTCTTGATGTAAAGTCAGACAAAGCTCTACACAATCTCTCTCCCAATAAACACATTTTCATCCATTGTGTGTCTAATACATCGGAGGATTACGAATTGCAAACAATCACACTTTTAAAACTTCGATGTTTTAAGTAAACAAAAAGTCAGATAAGTTACAATCAATTGTACTTTCACCTTTCTATGTTAACATTTCCAAATGTCTAATTCTTTAGCTCGAGATTAAAATGTAGGCTTCAAACTATCAGTGCTTGAGTTCTCCAAGTGTCCTTTCCACAAGTGAGACTAATACAAAATAAATACAAAAACATGCTGGCAAACAACAATTTACAATAGTTTGTGCAAGTACGGTGGCTCACATACGACATTTTCCACTTTTTATTTTGAATCAAAAACTTTTTTTTAATTGGTGAAAATAATTTTTACTAGGTGAAAAGTTATTTTGAATTAAAAACTTTAATTTTCACCCAAGTGAAAATAATTATCACCTTGGTGAAAATTAAAGTTCTTAATTCAAAATTACTGGAAATATCACGAAAATTAATATTTTTAATTCAAAATTAAAAGTGAAATATGTCGTAAAGAAGCTTTATTTGTTTATAAACTAAAATCTCGATTTTCACAATTTGTATCGGTTTTTACCATTATACAGATCAATATACCCGGATAATCGGAACACACCCTACTTTTAACCACACACTTTGACCGATCGAACATTATCAGCAGACATTGGTGTTTTTCTTGCGTTTTTTCTTGCGTTAACGAAAGAAATCTATGAACTCGGGATTGTACATTAGTGTAGTCTAAACACATTCTAGATTATAGACATCACAAAAAACGTAATATTGATTCTAGTTTGTTACATATTTTTAGATCGATATTATCATCTCAAAATATTATCCTATTTGTACCGCCTCAAGAGTTAGTTTCGCCATCTTGCACTTGAGCTATTACAATTTCCTGCAATTCCTGAAAAGATAAAAAAAAAATGGCTTTTAACATGGTGAAAATTCATATAAACTAGAGATCCATAATTAAAATAAGCTACGTCTGTAACATTAAACCGATTGGGACAAGACAATTATAAAAACAACAAGATACAAAATGGAAAATTTCCACAATATTTCGATGTACAATTTGTTTAAAAATATACTTAGATATATTAAAACAGATCCTATATCCCCTTGTTACCCAGGGTTTCACACTATGCGATCTTTAAACAACTGATACTATTTTAGCAGTGAAAATATTTTATCATTGTAAAAATACAATTTAAAGATGGGTTTCATTATTTTTTAGTGTCAAATTAAGCAAACTATTTGATTAATTGGAGTTTCTAATGAATTATCATGTATTCTTAAAAATATCATTATGTTCTTCTTGTATATAATTAAGATATTTAACCAATCATATGTGTCAAAGTATGTACAGTCTGTATAAACAAAAAAGACTTTTTGACCTTTCTTGATCGGTCACTCATTGGAATTCTGCTGGTAATTCTCTTCTAATTAAGCTAATTATGAATTAATTATGATTTCATTGATAATGGTTTTTGAAGGAAATCAATGTACTCGTAATTAACAAATTTTTTTTTGTAGAAAAGAACTTAATAAAATGGAAGTCTGGACAATCACTCAAAATTCAATATGCTCTTGTAATTTCTTTTTGAAATATTGAACGATGATCTTGAAGTTAGTCAATTTGTCAATAATTACTTATACTCTGATTTGAATTTCTAATATCAATAATGTTGTCTTATTGACTTTATATTAATGTTCAATAACATCGCAAAATTCATATCAAGGCAAGTATAGAACCTTCTTGGAGTTGATCCAGTTTCTAAATGTTATAACGACCTAACCTCGTGTTGCCAAGATTACGAAAAGACAACAGTGAAAACAAAATTTTAATTAATTTCAAAACAGACATAACTAGACCCTTATTCTTGATAACTTTACTGTTTAAATAGTTATGCCAAATCTAAAATTATTTGGATTGAAAATCGATAGAAAAACCCCGAACTATTTACATATATTCAAATATTGACTAAAATCAACCACCAAAATGCCGCTTATATCCCTTTAATATTTCCTTTATTCAAGGTACGTAGTGATAGTAACATTTTGATTAGGTCTTTATTTGAATATGCTCCCGATATTCATAATTCCAGTCCCTCAGTGTCCCTTAGCTATATTTTAGTTTTTGAAGACCTGTTTTAATATTTCCAACATGAAATATATAATCACACAATGAACTACTTAAACAGTGCTTCAAACCAACCGTCTTATTCAACTTAAACAATAGATCGTTATTATGTTTTAAAACAGGATGCAGATCTACAATAGAAGTTATATTATTGAGGAAATTTAAAAAAAAACTCTCGGACCAAATTTCTCTAAAGGTTTTGGTTTTATTTTAGAAATACAGTGTTGAAGTGATATAGTTGTCTAAAGGGTCAAAGCATAGCATAAATTTTCTCTCCAATGGTATCAGTGATAGGACCGTAACTTTAGGAGGGAGGGGGGGGGGGGGGTGTCACATTGGGCTGGTGACGGGCATGTTCAGTTTTAGCCGTTTAAAGTTATACCTAGGGTTGAATATTTTGGCCTATCAGTTTACATTTTGTTATGGGAAAATTGAACTTTTGGCGATAATGCATGTAATTTTATATAATCATGGTGCATCTTCAGATACATACCGTCGGATGCCTCTGATTTGGGACTGCTAAGGATGTTCATGTGTCAATATTAGACAAATCGAGTCAAATGGATGAAAACTAGTCTATATCGAGTAACTGAACCATTTTCCTTTATAAAACAGGAAGCTTTTACAGAATATAAGGATAGCTTGCCAGACAAGGTAACATACGGCCACTGGCAGCTGCCAGAAATGATAAATCAGTCTTTAGTGACTAAAGTATGAATTTTCTCATATTAAAGAAATTTTAATAGTTTGAATTCAATGATATATATATTTACTGCCAGTTATTTATGCTGAGAATTTCCACCAAATTTTTAAAAATCATTATCAATAACCCAAATACATCAAATTATCTCATCAATATACATGATCTCGCCATGTTTCATTAAAATCAATTGAAAACTGTAGTCTCTAATGTGTTCACAAACAAATTTTTACGCGTTTTTCCTAAGTCAAGGGCAATAACTCAAAAACCGTTCATCGAAAGATCGTCAAATTCAAACTTGACCAAGATCTCATCAATATAAATGATCACACCAAATTTCATTAAAATCAGTTGAAAACTGTAGTCTCTATTGTGTTCACAAACAAATTTTGACGCGTTTTGCCTAAGTCAAGGACAATAACTCAAAAACCGTTCATCGAAAGATCGTCAAATTCGAACTTGACCAATATCGCACCAATAAAAATGATCACACCAAATTTCATTAAATTCAGTTGAAAACTTTAGTCTCTATTGTGTTCACAAATAAATTTGGATGCGTTTTGCCTAAGTCAAGGGCAATAACTCAAAAACAGTTCATCGAAAGATCGTCAAATTCGAACTTGACCAAGATCTCATCAATATAAATGATCACACCAAATTTCATTAAAATCAGTTGAAAACTGTAATCTCTATTGTGTTCACAAGAAATGTTGACGGACCGACGGACGTTGTGGGCGTATAAAAATGAAACAAATATCAGTTATATTATAGGCGATATTTTACTATTGTGATCTCTTGATTGGCAAAATACGCATCTGAATGAATGTAGAAAAGCTTGATGCGGTCTGATCCCAAATAAAGGGAAATAATGCTGTTTGCTATTGAAGAGTTTTTTAAAGAAGGTAAATTGGGTTACCGGAATAACAACATTGACATGCTGCAATGTTTACAGAATTCTAGAAATCATAAACAGTGGTGTAACCTATTTTCGTGCATATAAAAATTTAACACTAAATTTCGTCTGTGATTAAATGCTAAAATTATGACTTGTCAATTTAAGATAGGATAGGGCCTACTCTGTGATATATAGAAAAGATATCTATAGAAATAGTTATTACAGCGAGTAAAAGTGACATAATATTCAAGACTAAAATCAAAAATGGGGCACATGTCTCTTTAAATTGTTCAAGTTGAATTTCTATATACAACAAGTGAGCCCACTTTCTGATTATGTGTATCTAATGCTCTTATAGGAGGCCTGAAAATATTTTGATTAGTAGAAATGTGAATATACTTCCTAATAGATTATTGTATGTTTGATGTAGCCCAACCCAGAGTGAGTGTAAAACAAATATGAAATGGCTGATATATAGTTTTATCGTACTCAGTTAGAGTGTTGGTTTTCTACATGACGTCATGTCTTTGGTAATGTCTAACAAATGGTCTCATGAAGCGTGTGAACATCTGATGGCCTTGACTAAGTCATCTACAGCTGTCAATGGGAACTGATAATCTGGAAATATCAATGCCAAGAAGTTTGGCCATGGACCAGCTTAATTGCGAACCTAACATTATGAATAAAATTGTTTCTTTCTCTTTTTAACATGATTTGTTTGACAATTTTATTTCAGTAAAAAAAATGAGTGAATCTAATGAAAATAGATTATTTTATACTATTCCTAAACATGAACTGGTAGAAAAAAATGATGAGTCTTTGACTACTAAAGAAAAACTTCTGTCATATATAAGAGATAATATTATTGGTAGTGAAAAGATATTTGGGGGACCATTTGGCTTGAGAAATGGTATGTTTTATCTGTTTGGTTTTTTCAATTTCCCTTCTTGAAAAGGAGAATACCAGTCCACAGAGGCTTTTTGGATAGAAATTTGTTGTATTTGAGTCAAAATAAACAGATAGTTCTTATATTGGTAATATTCCAATTGAACTCATAGAAAGATTTATTAATATGTTCTAAATCATGTTAAAAAAATAACCAAATATTGCAACAGTCTGCATCAAATAGGCAAAAATAAAACTTAATTTTTGAACAATATAAAAAAATTGTCATCAAAGCCACTTTTCATGGAATTTTATGGCTATAGAATAAGGTTAAGGCCCTAGTATCATTTATCTAGAACATGATTAAGTTTCTCTTTGTCTTGTTCAATACAAACCAATTTCTCTTTCAGTTTTGTATCTTGATTATATTGCTTCTGGGAGGTCAGTCAATTACATTATTCTGTTTTATTCATATTGAACCATGGTCAAGATTGAAATTGGTGTTTTATAATAAACAGAATTCAAACATTTTTACTAACTGCTTTCAAGTTTTAAGGAAATTTCATTAAAAGTTAGCATTAGAATTAAAAAAAATAAATTCAGAATTTTGGTGCTGCTGGTTACTTTGGAATTGTAAATGGATGCAATTGTCTCAAAGCTCAATTTGATTTATCCATAGCACTCATCAGAATTAAAATTTGACAAACAATTTTCCTACAATTGGACAATGTGACAATTACTTCAAGATCATTGTTGAAACACTTGCATTGGTTATTACAAATCACATCATAATAAAGGTGACTTTATTCCTTTTCTTATACTTAAAAAAGTTGTTTATTACCATAGGAGTTTAAAATTTATAGAAGATTATATACAAGCTGAAGTTTTACCAGAATATGGTAATACACACACAACAACTAGTGTTACTGCTTTACAGACTACATTATATAGACATGAAGCACGGTGAGATATACACTGAATACTGGTACTAAGACTTGTTGATGGAGGCTTTCTTAAAAGAAGAAATGCCAGAAATTTCAGAATTAATAATAAAAAAATGGTCAATGCAATATGTATACTCCTGAAGAAGCGATGTGGACTAGTATATAATTGAAATATATAGATCTAGGTTTTTTGGGGGTTTTTCGTGTTGGTTTCTACATTTGCAACCTATGATCTGATTTTTTTTATGTTTTATGTTCAGTGGCATACTTTATGCTTATCCATTAAAAACACTGTTTTGAGTTGACTGACAATGACCAATACAAACCAATGCTTAACAATGAATATCTCACATGTAGTTTGTAAATCATTTATCGAAAGGGACATTTGATTAGTCAAGTATCTGTATGACCTTGAACATGTGTTGCATAAGAATTTCATCGGATCATTGAGTGCAAGTGGAGTCTACCTGACATGAGACATCTGGATCTACATTTTGATTAGAACATTTTTATAAAGAACAAGAAACTGTTCTGACAATAAACATTGAAAAAACAAAATGGTACATGTTTGAAAGTAAATTTTAAAGTCAATGCTTCAAAGATGAACCCAAAATTTCTAGCAGGACATGACCATGTTTCTCCACTATTATTATATGGTGAATGATTATTATTACAGTGATATCATAAGAAATGCCTGTAATGCCAGTGAACATGATTCTGTTATATTTGTTGGTAGTGGCTGTACTGGAGCTGTCCATAAACTTATATGTGCTTTAAATCTCAAACATCCACCAGTAAGTAGGAATTTGTGTGGATTCATTGAAGGACTGATAAGAGATCAACAAGCAAGTTCTCTGGATGTGTCATCAAAATTTTATCAAGACAGAAGAGCGATTCTGAGATTCAAACTAGCAGATGAAATTCTGTACTGTGATTGAGCTATACAATATTATTTCTAATTTACAGATTGTATTAGTGAGTCCATTTGAACATCATTCAACATTTCTACCATGGTTAGAAGGTGGTGCTCAGGTAGTTGGTGATTTCTTTATTCTCAATCACCCAATTTTACTCTTAAAACTAGCCCGTGGTTGTTTTTTAAATGATTTTTTACAATTTAAAAATTTATATTTCTAATTTTATGCCAATTTTCACACAACTTCGTATGTAGCATAATGCTCAAAAAATTAACCAAGTCGGAAATTTGGCATCTCAATTTCAATGTGATCCACCACTTTTTTATTTAGCAAAGAAAAAAATAACAAGGTAGCAAATAAATATATTTTTCCAGGTTATAAGAATAAAAGAGAGTTTGAATGGAGATGTAGATCTGGATCATTTGAAGCACATGTTACAGGTAAAACATTAGTTGTAATGAAATGTACAAACATAGGACTTTTGTTACAATTGGATGTACAAACATAGGACTTTTATTACAATTGAGATGTACAAACATAGGACTTTAATTACAATTGGGATGTACAAACATAATACTTTAAATGTAATTGTAATGTACAATCATAGGACTTAAATTAATATTGGATGTACATACATAGGACTTTTTTTACAATTGGCATGTACAAACATTAGACTTTTATTACAATTGGATGTACAGACATAGGACTTTTATTACAATTAGGATGCACAATCATAGAACTTTAATTACAATTGGATGTACAGACATAGGACTTTTATTACATTAAGAATGTACAATCATAGGACTTTAATTACAATTGGATGTACAAATATGGGACTTTTATTACAATTGGCATGTACAAACATTATTGTAATTGTTTAGAAATATAAAGAAAGTGGTAGACAGTTAATAGGATGTTTCTCAGCAGTGTCAAATATAACTGGTATTATAGTTGACATAAATACTATAACTATATCATTACATAAATATGGTGCTCTAGCTTTCTGGGATTACGCCACAGCAGCTCCTTATTTACAAATTGATATGAACCCTGTTATAAATAGGTAAGTAGGTTTTTATTTACAAATTGATATGAACCCTGCTATAAATAGGTAAGTAGGTTTTTATTTACAAATTGATATGAACCCTGTTATAAATAGGTTAGTAGGTTCTTATTTACAAATTGATATAAACCCTGTTATGAATAGGAAAGTTGTTTTTTATTTACAAATTGATATAAACCCTGTTATAAATAGGTTAATAGGTTTTTATTTACAAATTGATGTGAACAATGTTATAAAAAGGTAAGGAGGTTTTTATTTACAAATTGATATAAACCCTGTTGTAAATAGGTTAGTAGAATTTTATATACAAATTGATATAAACCCTGATATAAATAGGTAAGTTGTTTTTTATTTACAAATTGATATAAACCCAGTTATAAATAGGTAAGTAAGTTGTATTTACAAAATGATATGAACCCTGTTTTTTTTACAAACTTACAAAATGATATGGACCCTTTTGTAACTAGATACTGTAAGTAGGTTTTACTTTACAAACTGATATTAATAAATAAACAATGTATAACAATCCGAACCACAAAACAAAACCCGAAATCCAAAATCAGGTGAAATGCATACAAAAACAAATTTGAGTCTGATTTACTGATAAAATACTGGCACAAAAGGAAATAAAAAAATAACTATGAATGCCATTATAAGACTTTTAATTTCAGTGAAGATCAAGCATATGTGTATAAAGATGCTATATTTATATCAGTTCATAAATTTATTGGTGGTGTCTCTACTCCAGGTAAGCTTTGATCTCTACAGTTGTGAGATGTATTTGATATGTATAGAAAAAGGCGATTGATAAGTTTGGTGGTGGGGGTTTTGGGCTTTAAATAAATTAATTGACAATACATGTATATGATTAAATGTAAGGGTCAAGATAAAAAAGAAAACAATATTTGAATTTGGATAGTTTAAAGATGGGTTCCCTTTTTTCATTTATGATATGAAAATGCTAATACTTAAATGAATAGAAAGTAGAGGTGTTCTAATGACTTGGAAAAATACCAGTTTGTCTCACATGTCCATAATTAATTCATAATTAGCTAAATTAGAATTCCAATGGGTGACCGATCAAGAAAGGTCAAAAAGTCTTCTTTTTTTTGTCCAAACTGTTACATGGACATTTATGATTGGTTAATAATCTTATTTATATGCAATAAGAACATAATGATATGATGAAGAACACATGATAATTCATTAGAAGCACCTATTAATTTGACACTAAAAAATAAGGAAACCAATCTTTAAGGCTTTAAATAAATGAGAAAGATCATTTTAGATTTATGAGGCATTGATTTGATGCAGTATATCTGATCATAGTATTTTATTTTTTGTTCAGAAATTTAATAATGATATTTTCATGTCTTGCCATGATTTTATTAGTTACAGGAGATATTTGTCAGTAGCTTATAGAAATTATCATATAATTTTTGTATTTTGTGCTCACTAGATGTAATGTTCAGTTCACAATGTTAGATAATGTTTATGGTAATTTTGTAGGGGTATTGCTGGCTAAAAAGAACCTATTTAACAATAAGAGACCAGATGTTTGTGGTGGGGGTACAGTCTTTTTTGTAAGTTAAAGGAGCACCTTCACTATCTGTTCGACCAATCATAACTAAGTTTCAGAAACAGGAATTTTTTTAGCTTACATAATTAGTGTTCACAGCTCATCGTCGAAAACACACATATTATATAGGAATAGACAGTGAAATTTCTAGTTTGAGGTATATTTGAAGGGATTATGCTATTTTCATGCGTTTTAGTACTTTTTAAGACTATTAAAGCATAATAAAGACCCAAATCAATCCCCTAAAATGCCAACTGTTCCCCTTTAATTTGTATACACATTTTTAATGCTTGAGGTCATGAGCTTATTTTACTCCTCTGGTCCTAATTAGACTTGGAAGATGATGAACTTTCTTGCAATATTTGGATTGCTACCTGTAGAATATTAGAATATTGATAATTCCAGCCCCGTTGTTAGGGTGGGGTCCGTGGGGTGCTGGACCCCAGCAAGTGAGAATTAAGCCCCAACAAAACCTTCTTCAGTTCAGCAAGATTGATTCATTTACAGTGTCTTTGTACAAAATCAAAAAGATATAGATTTTGATACATCTTTGGCACCTCAAAATTGTCAGAAATGAGTTCCATGGGCCTTACAAAATCTGAGCCCAAGCACCAATTCATTCCTGGCGAGGGGGCTGGATAATTCACAGCTTTTTGGAATGGCTTGTCATTCACATTAAAGCACTGGCCTCAGTGACAAAGTACCTTTTTATAATGAGACATTGTGCAAGTAAGTACAAGTAAGTACTGGTAGGTATGCTCAATATTAAATGTTGGAATAATTAAGGTTAGGAGAGAAGGGCATAGATATCTACAAGAACCAGAGCTGAAAGAAGAAGGTGGAACCCCTGCTATAGTAGAATCTATCAGAGCTGGTATGGTGTTTCAACTCAAACAAGCCTTGACACCTTCATTTATCATGGAAAAAGAACATCTACTATATAAGTAAGCACTTAAATTATTTGATTTCACTTGCACCACCAGTTGATGCTTTCTCTGTGACCAGGAGATCAAAATGTGTTCCCAGCATACGTTGAGATAATACTTTGGGTTTTCATACCTTATTTTTTTTAAAGTGATGCAGGTCATGGATTATTTGAAATCTTTCATACAAGTTCTAACTTAGTGTTTGATAAAAGGGACTATAGCCTTGATCATCCAAATAGATATTCAGCACTGATAATGTTTATTCTTCATTTTAGAAAAGCTATCTCTATGTGGAGCCAGTGCCCAAATTTGGTCATATTAGGAAATCCTTCTGCACCAAGACTGCCTGTTTTCTCATTTCTTATATACAATCCTTTGAATGGCCGGTTTCTGCACCATAATTTTGTTAGTAGTATATTGAATGATGTGTTCGGAATACAGTCAAGGGGAGGATGTGCTTGTGCAGGACCATATGCTATGGTAAGTTGTTTATTTGATTTCTTGGCACTTTTGTGTTTTGTGTTCAAAAATGTGAACCTGAGGCACAAACCATTAAACTTTTCGTACATTAGTTTTTGGGTTCACAATTTCAGGTTTAAAACCTCATAAAATATTATATCGTTTCAGTTACCTTCATGTTTGATGATTTCTTGTAGGATTTATTAGGTTTAAGTGAAGAAAAAGCCAAACAAATTGAAGAGTTGTTAGTTGAAGACAAGTAAGTGTTGACTATTGTTTATTACCAGTTGAATTAAATGGACCCCTAAGGGAGCCTTTTAACTTTTACTTATACCAAATGATTGCCCAGATCATTTTGACTGTGTTCAATTCTGCCATTGTTTTACTTCTTCTGTGACTTTGATTTAATTTAGATTAATTTTTAATGTTGACAGGAGATTAGACAGAACACATTTACGAAGATATAAAGAATATTCACATAGAGAAATCATCAGGTAAGGCATTTCCATTTGATACAGTGACGTCAAGGAATAACGACGCCTAATGTTTTGGTGTTGAGGCAATGGCATTTATGGTGATATAAACGCCACACGAATTTGTATTAGTCCAATGGAAAAAATAATAGTTAATGTAAATAATAACTAATAACTTATACATATAATATTGTTTCAGACCAGGATTTACCAGGTTAAATTTACCCTATTTTCTCACAGAAGTACAACTAGATTTTACTATCAAAGCTGTAACTATGGTAGCAGAACATGGTTGGAAATTATTACCTCAGGTATAACAATCTTACACAAAAAAACTTTTCACGAAAAATTCACTCAGATAAAATTCAAGGGTCCTTTATAAAAAAACATCACAAGTTTAGATAATCCAAGATGCACATTAAATATAACACTGATTGGTTGATGATATTAACCAATCAGATTCGATATGAGAATCATAAGTTAAAAAACATTCTGATAACAGGCCCCAATCTGAGTCAAGTCAAGTAAATATCACTGAAGATTTTCGAACTTGCTTGGAAAATGCAGAAAATATTGCATCACTTACTGAGCCTATTCATATTTTGTATTGCAGTATATTTTTAATCCCGAGACTGGAGAGTGGAAACAGAAAAATTTTCAGGTACAGTTTAATATACATATTTCATATTAATGTTTTGTTAGACTTGGATTTGATAATACCGTTAAACAAAATAATCTATGTAGATTCTCCCCAAGAGATCTGAGTTCAAAGGATAAAGTCACTGAGAACAATCTTCTTATTGGTGTGTAATAAATACACCAAATAAACATTATTAGCTATATTATTTCATTGTAGAATTTTAAAGATAGAAAATGGTTAGGACATATTTTATATCAAAATGGTCAGATGGAATTTAAAATACCTGCTGCAACTGTTAAAGGACCTCTCCCTACAAACTTTCAGGTATGTTTATGTTGTATAAATGTGCGGACACACGAGCGGTCTTGGTTGGGGAGAGTTTAGTCTCCGACTCGAATCTTGAGTAAAATCTCGAAGATCTGCTTCCAGGACAAGATTATCGTGTGTCGCCGACAGGATTTAAGTTGGTAATTGTCTCCGATAGTTTTATCGTCTACAAGACACTCCGTCATCTTCCAACCACGTGATTATCGACAAGGTGGAAAATGACCGACTGGAGATTTTTGTCTCCTCGTGTGTCCGTGCCAGTCGTTGAAACTCAAGACAAGACTCTAATCAGCAACAAAAGTCACCGACCAAGACCGCTTGTGTGACTCGCCTTTAAGCTGTTTCGTAGATTAATCATCTAGTTTCTGTTGTGTTAAGCTTTTTAAGATTTTAAATTAGAAAGTTAAAAAATTATTATATCCATATAGGAATGCTTAAAGATGGCAGAAGTTATTTTTGATAAAGCAACAAAACTGAAAACAACATTGCCTGATCAAAGTTTACTTTTTGATGAAGACACTAAACCTTTTAGATGGTTCATGTTGCCAAGTGAAGCACAAGACTGTCTCCATGGCAACCACACACCTGCTCTGACTCTGACAGATTTACCCTTCTGTCCTAATGTTTTAAAACAAAGACATGGATTTCCTACTGAAATCTTGCACACTGAAATATTGTTAAATTCCAAACCATTAATTCCAAGAGAAAATGATGAATTAGGTAACAAGGAAGCATTTTGTGATGGAATGATTCAGTGTCTCAATCTAGGATATGAAGAAATGGATGAAAATTCCCAAGAAAAGTGCAATTCAAATGTGTATCCTTCAGTTAAAAACTGTGAACTTACATCAAATACTGTAGCAGAAGACAATGGATCTGAAACAGTCACACCTGTTTTTTATTCTGAAGCAAAGTCTGATAATTTTACTGCTCGGTTGTCAAGCAAGGATTTAAATAGTGCCGAGGAAACTCTAGAAAAATTTGATAGTGATAATTCAAAACATGAAATAAGTCAAAAAGACAGAACCATTGGAATGCAAAGTGACACAAGTAAGGAAACTGAATTGTCTTCTTCAAAGACAAATGAGTCAAAGGCAGTTGGAGTTGTCTGCCCATTGTTGAGAAAAGCCGACAATAAGATAAGTGAAGAAGCAGAAGTAAAAACTAAACAAGTTCAATGGTTTTCTCCACCAAGAGACATATTCAAGCCTTCTGTGACAGTAAGTAAAATGTTTAAAGTGTATCACTTTTCAAAACTGAAATTTGACATCTTTCCTTCTTACAATTTAACATAATTCCAGGGCATTTTTAATAGCCCTACACTCATTATCTATTGCTGTTAGAGTATAAATAAGGATATACAAATGACAACAGTCAAATTTCCAGTTGTAAGTTTACATTGAAAAGAAACACATTTCTCTCCAAAAAATTTCAACCCCAACGAGTCCAAAACTTTGGCTGAAAATTACCCTCTGTAATGATAAATTTTGAAGACATAATGTGTGCTCACTCTTAACGCAAAGACATTATAAAACTAACAGTACTATTAGTGTGCTGCTTTTCCAACTCTGACAAATGATAATGACAAAATTCATAAAACTTTTTACTTTGCTCAGACAATAATTGGAAAAGTGTCTAGTAGTCTCAATGGTACAAAACATCAGAGCTGTTGTTGATGTTGAAATTTCCCTAATTGCACACTGCATTGAATAATTATGTGTCTTAGGCTATAGAGGAATATAATATGATACACAATGGTGATAAATTATTAGTTTGTTTATCTGGTGGAAAAGATTCCTTGTCTCTACTCCATACCATTAGACAGTACCAGTTTTATGCCAAGGCAAAGGTAAGCTAGAACTACAGATCTTACCCATAATCTGGAGCATGATAATAATAATAATAAACTCTTTATTTTACATGGGTCAGAATTAGGCCCAATACACAAGGACATGGTCCTGTCAAACATTCAGCCCATGGGACAATATAATGAAAAAAAAAAAATGCCTTAGACAATATTTTGGTATGAAAATGTCTCAATTGTATATAGTCTAATGATACTTGCTGGCTCTTACCACCCATGTTGAAACATGCTTAATATTAGCATAAAGATGGGGTGTGCTAGTTTACTGTAACAGAAATTGGGAGTAAATCGTTTATCTCAATGTTCAACAAAGTAAAAAAAATGTGAAGTCAATTATATTTTCCTATATATGTCTGTATATAACATAATACTTGTTTAAGATCTTCATTTGACTGAAATCAGGAAAAAAGTCAAAATTTCACCATTATTTCCAACAAGAGATCATTTCAATACATTGGCACACATAGCCACTTTAACACATTTGGTATACAATCTTGTAGGGTATACATTTTGAATTTGGAGCTGTTACTGTTGATCCACAAACACCAGCTTATGATCCCAGTCCACTGAAAGACTATTTAGCATCTTTAGGTGTACCTTACTTCTTTGAATCACAAGGTGAGCACAACATCAATAATGGTTTGGATTATATGCAAGCAAATTTTGAAGGGTACATTTTTTAAGTCCTTAGATTGCGTGCTATGTTTTTGTGCATAATTCATATTTCCTGTCCGAAGTCTTTGGTTGCGACAATTAATGACTTCCTGACTAGGTTATCACTATTACTTATGTTGGAAGCATGTTTCAATAAATATTTAGTTTAATAGATATATCGTCTTATACAGAGATTTTATTCTTTAGTCATGGTACCTGGTAAGTCCAACTGAAAATATATACACTTGTTAACCAATTTGGGGTTTTAAATTTTATGCCCTTTCTAAAAGAAGGAAAGAAACAAGTATATTTTACAAGGATATCAACTTAGGTTCACAGTTAAGGATCCTTTCTACCAGCTGGTCCTTGGCCAAACCTCTTGGCATTTAGTAAACACATACAATGACTAGAATTTTTTATTAATCCTTTTGAAGTTTATAAATGTGCCAATAACTGCGTTTATTATTCTAGGTATCTTAGAAACAGCATCAAATCTTCCCTATGAATGTGCCTCTATCTGTAGTTTTTGTAGTCGGATGAAAAGAGGGCGTATTTATGCCTGTGCCAGACGAGAAGGCTATAATGTTTTGGCTTTAGGACAACATTTAGATGATTTATCTGAAAGGTAACATGAAACTTTGGCGAAGTTTGATTCGTGTAATGTATTTACATATATTCAACACTTAAATCAACCCCCAAAATGGAGGGTTTGTTCGTATAATATATTGAAGCTGATATATTGATTTTCTTCAAAAAAATCAGAATAAGTCAGCACCCAACCTTTCTGCTCTGGGATATTAATTACTAATTGTGCACTATATTGGCAATTATACAGTAATCAAAAGCCCTCATGTAAAATTGAGCTATGCATGATGATTCTTTATCTTATCTCCTTGGAAGTTTTCACACAGAAAGTAATATTTTTTCATGACTTTTCTTTTCAGTTTTCTAATGTCATTTTTTCACAATGGTAGTTTAAGAACTATGAAAGCCTGCTATACAGTCAAGTAAGACTGATTTTATATACTATTACATTACTTTACTATGACTGGCAATTATACAGATCTTGATACCATCATAATCGTATTTGCAATTGCGTTCTTGGCAACTCGAAAATGACTGATAAATAATCAAGAACAGTGCTTCTCAACAAGTGAAGATGGAAGACCATTCGGGCGTAGTGCTGGCACGTTATATATATTATGATGAATCGATGTATCGCAATATGACATGCTATGATACACGTATCGTATCTTGATGACGCCGTGTATCAATACTTGGTGATACCTTTATTCCATAAAAAGTGCAGATTTTTATGTTTTATGTATTAACAATTTTTTTCACTGAAATTGTTAGAAACTCTTTATGAAACAGTGGACGCTAACCACTTCTATCAACTTTTTTACCAAATATCACAGTTATAAAGTTAAAAATTATTAAATATTGAAACCGTGATGATAAAATGTTAATTTATATCCCATTACCCCATATTGCGATATGTATCGTATTGTGACCCTTGTATCACAATACGTATCGTATCGTGACATGATTGACAATAACATTAATTGGGAGGAATTATTGCCAAGGGGGGAAATGGGGAGGAATCGTTGGACCTCGGAAGAAATAAGAGAAATTCTTTCTAGCAGGGCACACAGAAAATTTATGAAGGAATGTTCGACTATCTCAATATGTGGAGTATGATTTTATATCCATTTATGGTTAATCATTGAATAGTTTTTTCGAGTGAAATACCGAAAAGGAGGAATGATCTCATTGAGGTTGAGAAGCACTACTCAAGAACATCCATGGCCTTGCAGGGAAGCTTCCACTTTTAATTGGCAGAATCGGGTTTATTTTGTTTCCTGTTTATTCCAGACAAGGTGATCTGAGAGTTATCCGCCCTTTTGTTTATGTTAGAGAGAAATTGTTGAGAACATTTGCAGAAAAGGTAATCTACTACTTATACTGCCTATTTTAATATAACGTGTTCAATACATTTCATAAGAGAATTAAATCTTATAACTTCATTTCGGTTAGGCTATGACAGATCATTTTAAAAAACACCCTTATAAAGAGATTATGAAGGGGTTTTCAGTCCAACATCTGTGGTTCTCACAATTCCCTTGTGGTATTAGCTGGTATACTGTCCGTTATAAGTGACATCATACAACGTTAACATCATATTACGCTTTTACTTTTATTACTTGGGAGTTCAGGGTATATGTTGTTCTATTTCATTCACACTTAGGGTTCAAAAGGTTAATGCATTAATTCTATTTGTAGAGTAAGTTACCTGTGATAGCAGAAAATTGTCCTGCTTGCTTTGAAGCCCCAAAGGTTGGTTTGTATTTTTTTTTCTTCAAATTCTTGGATGGGCATTGGCAAGAATAATACAGCTAGTGGCAGTTTTCAAGAATGATAACTTACTAACTTTGACAATTACTATTTGCCTTAACACCATGTGAGCCCAAATCTTATTTTCACCATCTTCACATTGTCCATCTATTATAAACTGCCTCCAATACCTTGACTGCAATAGCAACTTTTCTTGTATCACATAAGTTAGTAAATATAGAAATGATGGTAATCTATGCAAATACAAGCAATCATAAATCTATTACAAGCACAACCAAATTTTGTACAATCTCTCTATGGAGGGCTCTGATTGCTGTATTCACTAGCAAACAATCCAATCAAATCCTTGCATTTATTAAATTATGTGATACAAGGAAGTTGGCTATTGCAGTCAAGATATACAACACAGTTCTTAACAGCTTCACATTGTAAACTTCCCTTCCTGTGGTACAAATATCTGTGCTTGACCATATTTCTTGCTTTTCAGGAGAGACACAGAAGCAAACAGTTATTAGCCTCTCAAGAATTGTTATTTCCACAGTTGTATAATAGTATGATGGCAGCCATGAAACCCCTCATGGCTATAAATACTACTAAATCGTCTCTTAGTAATATATTCAACCAAAATAACAGTACAGAAGAAACAGATGATTAAAATTTAGTAATTTAACATTAAAAGACTTTTTTTTTAGTGTTTGGCTTGAATTGTATTTTTGATTATAATCTGATCAATCCATGGATTAAGGCAACAGACTGAAGATGTAATTTGTGCAAATAATAGCAATATGTGTCTCCAATGTGTATCATCTTCACAATGTTAAACAAAACTCTGTCCAATACCTTGATTTCGGTAGGCACTATTGTTATACTAATGATTTTTTTAAAGCAGTAATTTAATTGGATTAAACATTAGCAAATACGAAGTCCTCGACCAATAGATACTTGAAGCCAACTTGAATTCTTTTTGTTCAGGTCCCTGTTTGGTTGTATTCGCTAGTATTTACAGATACAATGAATCCAAGACCAAGAGTGTTATGTAAATTTGCTTATTGTGACTTCTACAAATCATGGTCTTGCAGAATTGATATGGTTTCCAAATTAATTATCATTTTTGTTTGAAATTTTAATTGAAAATGCTTTATAAATACAAGTATTAAATAATTCTTACTAGTCAGGCTTTCTTTTTGTTCATGTTTTTTAGTTATAACCCTAAACACATTAAACAGACCAGCCCCGAAAGCAAGATATTTCGCAATGATACGCTGTATTGGCCAATTCCATGCATATTGACCGGATGCTATTATAGGCATACCAAGGCCTAAATTGTATGGTCCATGAAAAAAAATACGAATTTTCAACACACCGTGAACTTTTGTTTTGTTAGTATCATGTATCCCTGTGATCCTTGAACTTTTGGTTGCGCACATAGTCTAAATGGCCGACGAGAGATGAGTTTCACACCCCTGGAGCAATCACCTTTCACATCCATATTTCCAGCATGTGATAGTGTGAAGTGCTCTCTCAAATTAAAATAAATTCTTCTTCTTCACCAGTTAACCACATCCCTTACACCCTAGACCCACACCCCCAGGGGTGAAAAACACCCCATGTTGGGAACCAGGGATTTAAGACCTATGGAGTAAAAGCTATAACTTTGTACTAATGACAAAGTTACGAAAGCACAAGCAGGACTTGAGGCCAAAGGTGAGCTTGAACATTATTTGACATCAATTTCAAAAGGTTACGTGTATTACCTAAAGTTGAAGGGTAATATTGTCTACGTTAAAGCCCCCAAAAATCTAAAGCAATCTTAAGAGAACTACATTTTAT